TACTCACCTGGATGGCTGGGACGAGGGTGAAATACCCGATCAAGATGATCCCAAGCTCGGTCGCCATATTCTTCATAATCGACCAGCTCTCATTGCTCAAGCCTGGAGAAAGAACGTGCAAAGACGGGTAAAATGAGACTGTTCGCTTGTGGACAGGCATGAGCTTAGCAAAAAGGAACTGGATTTCCCTTCTTTAAAATTAGGCATCTATAGACAACAGTCAAAAAAGGTACCTTCAGGCTAAAATTCATCTGACCTATTTTGAATATCTAAGTCAAACAACTGGACTGTAGACCCCGATGTCTTTATTAGCAGGATTATCATTAACTACAAAGAGAGCTCAGGGTGACTCTCTCAGCTCACAAAACTGTCCTGATTTAAGCAGCCGGAGGGTACTGCACAGGGCAATACGGGGATTCAGAAGCATAAAGGACCACTGAGTTGTTGAGTCCTGTTTTCAATCTAGGATACAAACCACTTGTATTTTTAAAACTAGGTAGATTTTTCTAGGCATCACTCTAGAATCTCTCTTCCCTGATGTTTAGAAACATCTTTTAAGTTTGCAAACTCCATTTATCCATGGTTTGAGCACACTCAAATCCTCATGCAGGTACAGAGTGTATCTATAATAGAGAAGATAATTTGGTCACAGACTCAGCAGAACTTCATATGACCTGTGGACTGCACTTACAATATTCATGACGCGCGAGGACAAGGTGCTAAATATCTACACCAGGAGATACAGCTCTCCCTTACTAACGCTTTTTTAAACTTGTTTAGCCAATGCTTCAGACAACAATCTTAAAAAGCAGCACCCACAATTAGAGGCTTATATTAGTTCTTGGAATTACCAAAACCAGTACAAAAAGACGAATAGAACACAATTCCCAATTCACATTCAACACACACAGTCCTTGTTTCCCCCGCAGACCAGAATTAAGATCGTTCCCCATCTCCCAGTCCTTGGGTTACCCTAATTTTCACTCTCAACATTTTTTCCAGAGCAGGCTGCGTACCTTGGGCGATGCGTAGCTTCACTTCCAGGTCAACGGGCGTAGAGACAACTGACTTGGTGAGAACGAGCACGTTCTCTAGGCCAATCACTACAACCAAGTATGGAAATATTTCGCTAGAGGAAACAGAACCAGAACAGAGAATGAGACCCTCGGTGAAAAAGAAGGGAAGAATGCAAGTTAAGCAGTAAATACGCATCCTAGAGTCAAGGCCAGGGAACACTAACCAGTGCTGTCAGCAAAATCCCTTCTCGTATAATATTGCTCTATGATGAGGTAAGGGATCTGTATTTCATCTGCTTTGGATGTATATTAACGTTTTTGCAAAGCTGGATGATTTTCTGGAAAATGGCCACTGTAGACCACCACTAAATTAGTCTTAATGCTTCCCAGGGTTGGGACAGTGTCCTTCGAAGAGTGTCTACAGCATTTAGTACAAAGGGGTGCAAATCAAAAAGATGGACTTTGAACAACAGTGCAACAGACTCAGTAATAACTAGTCAGCAAGAGCGCATTACAACAAGAGGGTAGGGAGCGTGTCCTGCCATCAACAGTGAAAATCCTGATAAATCACAGCCAAGCTTAAACAAAGATTAAACAAAACTTAAAAAAAAAAAAAATTCTCAAGTGAAGAGCATGGGCAGTGCCTGGTTCAGATACCCAGAGGGCACAAGGTTCCACACCCTGCAGCTGCTGCAAGCAATCCAGTCTCGGGCACTGAAGGAGACACGTGAAAGGACTTCTCTGTTGGGAGGAGATAAATTAACGTGCACAGAGCTCTGTTCTCCGGTACACCAGGTAGCTCAGAAGCCACAATGCTGAGAACAACGTGCAATGTACATATGCTTTGTCCTAAATCCTGCCAGGGATAGTTTCTACCCAAGAGTCAAGAAAACGCACTGAAATGCATTTGCCCTTCAGCGTGTATGCACACAGAAGAGTAAGACCACCCAAGGTCACCACCGTGACTGTATTCGACTCTTTGTCTCACCCCTACATTTCTTCCTCTTTTTTGAACTACATACAATCCAGATCAGAGAGAAAAAGCTGTTCCATGCCAGAACATGGTAAATCTCTTGATTTCCTTCCAGTTAAACTTAAGCAAAATACTAAAGCCTTCAATAGGGAGGGTAATGGATTTGTGCTGTGCTGGTACGTACAGACCCAAAAGGAGAATATCCGTGCATGCATGCACGCACACCCTTGGCAAATCACTAACAGCCAAGACAGGCAACCAACAGAGTTTCAGAAGAACACCTCCTACTTTCTACCATTGCCTGCCATAACCCCCAAGGACCATCTTCCCAAATGCTGCTTTTGATTGCCTATGGCCATCTGAATTGGGCTTCAGCAGCGTTTGCGCACACATAGCTGTCAGCAGCCTGTGCCTTACAAGCTCAGCTGGACAAAAACACCTGTCTGGAACTACTGCTAACTCAGCTAATTTGTTCCAATTGATTCCTTGAGCAAACGGCAAGCTGAAACAGCAAAAGCTCCACTGAAATCAAGATTACACAAACCAAAAAACAAACTCCACGCACCCTCCTCCAGGTATCCTAACCAAATTTCAGCTCTAACAATGGTGCAACACACTGGTCCATTCAGCTCCTGTCCAAAACCTGTGCAGGAAGTGCATTTCCTTAGCGAAAAAAACCCCAAAATATATGTAAGCTTCTCATGGGCAACTTCCTGTTAATGTCAAAGAATCCAAAATCTAGAAAGGACAGCTTAGTTCTGCCTTTATCTAAAGCATTTTCCGTTCATAACCTGTGTCACTCCTCCGAGCAGTACCTTAGGACAGGAATGATGTGAGTAAAGCTCTTTGCAATCCTTAGGGATAGAAATTGTTAAATAAAAGAGAATGCAGCAAATACAAGGGAGAACTCCGCTGCCCGGCGCAGCGCAGCACTGTCCTGCAGAGCACGCTGTCTGCAGGGGTACGTTCTTGCAGAGCCCTTGCGGAGTCCTGTCCTTACGCACAGTCCTGCAAGATACACAGGAGGTCCAGCACCATTTCCAGACAAGCTGCAGTAAGCCTTCAGAAGGCAGTCCAAATACGGAAAAGAAAACCCATAATTCTCTCATCAACTACGTCCTACTTAAACAGTAACTTTTACTGCAGGAGATAATTAACTAATAGCCCCAGGTTATGAGTTTCAATAGTCCCTGAACAGCCAGCAGTTTTCATGGTAAATAACCAGCAGTTTAAAAGGAAAGAGACATTAGCTTTTCTTGAAGAGTAATGTGACTCTGTGCAGGACAAACACAAGCTGTTCACGCCCTGCAACTCCAAAACCTAAGTTCATTTGTCCCCACTCAGAGTGAGGCAGATGGCAAGAGATCCCCATTCTATTTTCCACCACGCAGTCCCAAGCACTGAGAAAGAGCTTACAAGAGGAAGAGGAAGAGGAAGAGCAAGGGGAGATGCTGTATCATCTCCATCTATTGAAACATCTACACTTAACGCCAGACCATAGTATGATCCAGCACCCCAGAGAGTCAACAGAAACACTACTGTTAACTCATAAAGAAAACAGATCTTCTCTGCCTCCATATATACTTGTGGAAGAGAGACAACCTCTGGTTTATCCAAAACGTTTGGAAGGTTTTCAGGATTTATCACGCCAGCCTCTCTTACCTAAATTGCAGATGTTCACATTTGAGCTAGTCGGTTTAGGCCTTTTTTTATAGGCAACAAGGAGCAGTTGTTCATCATTTCAGATCGGGATTCCTCTAACCTAGCCGAGATGCCAACCTGTGGGTCGGTGGCTTGTGCTCTGGACTCATCTAGAGATCCTCCCAGTCCACCAGCTCGCACTAATCCCACCTCCAGTGAACTCCAGGCATTCTCCTCAACTTCACTGTTTATTCTTTCTTAAATCCTGCATAGGTCATGTCAGCTATCTCCACTTAGTTTTCATTTCTGTAAAATTTTCTGTAAAAATCTTACTCATTATAAAAGTTGATTGATAGAATGATTAAGGTGTAAAATAAAGACTAATCCCTCCCTCACCTATAACCATCTTACTCATTATAAAAGTTGATTGATAGAATGATTAAGGTCCAGTTTATGTATCATATCTGTAGCAAGCACACACTGATCTCTAAGCAACAAGCTTTATTTTAATACCTTACAGAAACCAGTGAGGGAAAAAGGCTTATCATAAATACAGGTACCATGAAAACAAACACACCTACATCTGGAAGGCTCTGCTGTAAACAAAACGGATAAAAAAGGCTGAAAGTCAGATCAAAGTTTAACCAGACTCTGCGCCCTAAGCTGGCCAAATCCTAGGATGTTGCCACTGGTGTAGGACACACCAAGGACAGGGACACGCTGTCCCCAGTGGGGAATCAGGTAACTAGAGGGAAAGTGCTCTGGCAGACACTGGGGAAGCAGGAAAAGGTCACTCACCAAAAGTAAAAAAACCTAATGTCATCAGAGCCCATCACCACAGAATCCATGCGTCTTCCATCTAATTGGACATCATTTATAAAGTATTGCAAGAATTCCGTTTCAACCGCAAAGGAAACTGTCCATGTGATCATTTTAAGGCAAAGAAATTTTGCTGGAAAATTGTTCTTTGAAATAAGGACTGAATTATCTCTTTCCATCCTGTAGGATGAATGACTACATTGGTTTAGCCCTTCTGTGTGACAACGGTAAGGCTGATTATATACAAAGGCCTTGGTCATTGCACTCACCAAAACATGTATCTGCATCCAAATATTGCCTTTTTTCTTGCATTAAAATTATAAACACCCAGTGGATCCTATCTATCTGTACAGCTCACAGAACAATGCGTTCTTGATCCATAATTAAGGTTCCTAAGCACCACAGCAGTAAACCCAGAAACAACAAATATTTCAGTTTCTGAAGTCAATTATTCATAGCTCTTTTAGGCTTCTAGGAGAGGAATTCCTCCATCTAGGCCTGGCTCCTGGTGAACTGTCACCAGCATTGAGGAGTCTCCCTCACGGGTCAGACTTTTCATTGTTCCTGCGGTGTACAGCTGCGAGGAGGAGACGGGAAGAAAAATGATGGCTATTTCCTTACCTACTTAGGAAAGGGATCTGAAAATCACAAGAAAGACTCTGAACTGAACTTTAATTCATGAGAAATGAACAGTGTGTAGAACTGGGGTAGGGGAGGAGCCAGTTAGAGCTTTCTCAGGGGTTTTCAGCTTGACACAAATATAATGCGTGGTAGTAACCACATCAAAAGTCCCAAACTCCAACTCTAACATGCACAGGAACTCCAGTTAAAAGAAGAGCTGACAGCTGTTGGTGGTGGGTGCAAACTTACGCAGGTAGCCTCCCAGGCACAAATACCACAGGTCAGTTCTGCCACCTTTAAAGATTTTTCCAAGTAAAATGCAATGAACCTCCGTCAGCCGGAGAAAAGGTAACAAGCCCTTCTGGATGCTGCAAGTCACTGCAGGAGGCAGGTATGTAAGAGCCTGCTTAGCTGCCAGGAAATCAAGTTATGAATAAGACATTGTCCCAACAATTTCTTCTGCTTTAGGCAGAAAGAGCCAACTGCTAAGCAATAAGGCATCTCCAGGAAGACTGGGATCCAGGCAGGTCTATTTGCTGGCCGGCAGAGAAACACACAGCCCTTCAGCCCAGGACGGGGGGTGATGATAATTTTGCACATCAGTGTATAAAATAGTATCACGTAAGCTTATTTGAAAAACACTAGATCTTAAAGACTAAGCGTTTAACAGCTGTTTTCAAATTATTTCACCTCCATCTACCCTTCTTTAGGAAGAGGTTTGGTGCTGGAAACGTACCCTCCATTAAGAGTAGGTGTCAAACCAAATAGCGTGCACAGCCCAACAGACATGAGCAGAGAGCTGAGCACCGTCACGACCGCTGCCAGTGCCAGACCCCACTTCGATTTCACCATGTCAATCTTCCCTGAAAAACAGAAGGCAATGTCTTGGTTACCAAGCAGAAGAAAATGACATTAATAAAAAATCTAGGAGAAGAGATCCTCATCCTGACTTATTTCAGCATGTAGCCCTGCAACCCAGAATTAATGGTAGTTCAGTCTCAGTGGCTGAAGTGCAGCTCCCAGATCCTCCCAGTAGCTAAGAGGTACTGTAACAAGGACGGGACAGAGGGTAATGCATGGCTTCCAGCTCAAACTAGTTCCAGCACAGCACTGTTGGGGCATGAAAAAAGGAACTGAAATGGGTGGCTAGTAAGGTCTAAAACCACCGGATCAGAACATGTATTTGATCTGTCTCACAACCAATTAAGTCTCTCCAAACTGGAAAAAACACCATTACTATGGCATTTTAAACTGCGTAAGACAGAAAACACCTCAGAAGATATCACAAGGAGTAACACCATGCTGGCTAAGAGGGACAAACTGGCAGAAATCAGCTAAACAGGACTACTAATTCTCTACGTGACAGTTCAGAGTAAAATTTCAACACCACACAGGAGGCAACTGCAGTGCTATGGACAGGAGTCCTTCTCTTATCTGTAGCCAGGGAAAGGGCACCCCACCACTGATCCCTCACATATATTCAGCTGGCAGGTGTATAGGTGGCTTATTAGCTTGCTCTCCCCTCAAGGCTCTCCACCCCACAAACCTACGTGTGGAGAAGTAGATGTAAGCGAAGAGTATAATGTAGGTGGTGACGAGGGGTATCAGCTCAGCAATGCCAATCTCTTCCTTGAAGTGGACGTGAACGATGTTCTCCTCTCGCAGTGTGCAGTTAGGGCTGGGATGCAGCAGCTTGAGGCGAGAGCGGAGGCTGCTGAGGAACCTGAGAAGAGAAGCAAGCAGGAGGATGTCACGCTGTACACAACCACCAGCACGCAATTCCAAGGAGGAGCTCGATGGTATAGATCAAGTAGGAAGAAGCTCCGTAGATTTACACACTTACAAAGCACTGGTCTCTCTAGGCCTGACTGCTAAGCCTGTTCCTCTGCGTGCCAAACTACATTTGTCACGTCTCTACTGGGGCAATCTCACAGACCTTGATTTCTATGAAGATTCAGAGATAGCTGAAGACTCAGCAAAATTATTTAAAGCAAGGGCTCATCATCCAAAATCTTGGCCCTGGAGAAGAGAACATAGAATCATAGAATCATAGAATCGTTTAGGTTGGAAAAGACCTTTAAGATCATCCAGTCCAACCATTCACCTACACTACCAAGTCCACACTAAACCAATCAAGGGTAGACCAGACTAAACCATGGCCCAAAGTGCCACCTCTGCCCGTTTTTTGAACCCCTCCAGGGATGGGGACTCCACCACCTCTCTGGGCAGCCTGGTCCAATTCTTGACCACCCTTTCCGTAAAGAAATTTTTCCTAATTTCCAACCTAAACCTCCCCTGGTGCAGCTTGAGCCCATTTCCTCTCGTCCTATCGCTAACTACATGGGAGAAGAGACCAACACCCACCTCACTACAACCTCCTGTCAAGTAGTTGTGGAGAGCGATGAGGTCTCCCCTCAGCCTCCTCTTCTCCAGGCTGAACACCCCCAGCTCCCTCAGCCGCTCCCCACCAGCCCTGTGCTCCAGACCCTGCCCCAGCTCCGTTGCCCTTCTCTGGACACGCTCCAGCACCTCAATGTCCTTCTTGTGCCGAGGGGCCCAAAACTGGACACTGTATTCCAGGTGCAGCCTCCCCAGTGCCGAGTACAGGGGGACAATCACCTCCCTGCTCCTGCTGGCCACACTATGCCTGAAACATGCTGTAGTCTCAAACATCCCCTGAATTTTATGTAAGTACGGCTGATGAAAGGTGCTACATGTCAGTCCTTGAGGCTGAACAGTTCGTACATGGGCGGCAGCAGAGCAAGTTTCAACTCCTGTGCTGCCAATTCTATCCCAGACATTCCTTGGGGAATTCTGTGCAGCGCTGAGCAGAGCCTTTAGTCCTCAGATCCACTCAATCCAAGCCAGCTTTGCCAACACTGCCAAAGGGGTTTCACAGTTGGTACCAGCTGAATTAGTGTTTACTGGAAAGCAAACCACTCTATGCACCAGGAACTGGGTCAAAACAGACCTACTGGGCCTTGGCTGCACCAACGCAGCTCTGTGTGCAGATGAAGCTATCATCAGAGGAACTCCCACCGGCACCTTTGGATATTATACTTGTTTTAAGAGAGAAACTGAGAACTGATAGTATTTTATTTCCTTAAAACACAGCAAGTTTTCTCCCAAAACCAGCACCCTGGTTTTCTATAGCATGTTCAGAAGATCCTAAAATACTCTAAAACACAAGAAAATGGAGATTAAAGAAAAACATAACAATAATCAGAGTAGGGAAAACAGCAAACTTGCCAAGCATTGAACAAGGGATCCGGAAGATAGAAATAGCACAGCTAAAGCTCCTTACCTGGAATCATATCGCCGGAGACCCAGTGTGACAGTGTACGATACCACCCGCTTCCTATTATAGAGGTTCACCCCACTGTACTTCCCAGGGAGCCCAAACAACAGATCTGCAAAAACACAGTGTGAAGGAAACATTAGGATAACAACAAAATAAACAAACAAGATGGGATATGAGAGGTGTTCATTGTGAAGAATGCTGAATGAGAACTACTGTTGTTATAGGAAGCACTTTCTCAGTGCTCTGCTGAGACCTTATCAACGTGGATAAATACTTGATGCAGGGGAGTAAAGACGGAGCATCTCTTCTCAGTGGTGCCCAGTGAGAGGACGAGAGGCAACAGGCACAAATTAAGACACGGGAAATTCCCTTTAAACACAAGAAAAATCTTCCTTCCTATGGGGAAGTTGTCTGTCCTCATCTTCTTCTTGCTGATCGGGCAGCCTGAATCGGAAAAGGTCTGCCCTCCAATCCTAACCCATTAGCTCTCAACTAGCTCATCGCTCGTCCCTAAGCAAAAGCTCCACGCGTTCCCGCTGCTCACTCACACAAAGGACAACTCCCCACCCTCCCAGCCTGTCCTTCCTGAAGAGCCTGTGTCTACCCACACGCAGCACTCCAGGGCTGCGAGCTACCCCACGTCGTCTCTGGGAGCTGGATGAGGCTGTAGCCCTCCAGCTGCACACACCTCTAATTCCTCCTGCTCGCTCCCCACGCTGTGTGTGTTAGCGTACAGGCACGTCAAGTGGGCACCCAATTTGTCCTTCAACAGAGGAGGCAGACATTATCTTTAAGGATGCAGCCAAAGAAACCCTTGGACGCTTGTTTTTGTGCATGTTGGTGTGTGATTTGAACCAGAGCTTCCAAGAAGACTTTGCACTGCAAGGGACTACTTAATGCCTCTTCTGTAGTCTTGTGCGCTAAAACACAGACTTGAAAAAATTATGCATCTTGATGAACACTACCACCATTCTCAGGAATCCCCAGGATATTGTGGACCTCTATCTTGTTTGTGAATGAGCGCTCAAAGACAGGCTGCATATGCTCCAAACCACAGTGTGCACACACTCTGGATGCTCAAAAAATAACCTTTAAAACAAACACATTAGGGTTACAAAACCCCTCTTCAGACATGTCATACTGTAGGCTTCCTGACACCTGCAAAGTCCCTTTAAAACCAAAGGAACAGCATTTCCTCTGGCTTTATGGAACCATTAACCAGTATGATCCCAGACACGGTCAGACTTATTTTTTTAATTAAGAGAGAAAAATACTTTTATGATATCCAGTGTCAGCTCAGGGTATATGCAAGCAACTATCAGTGAATGCACAAGAGGGAGCAGGATGAATGTTCATTTATCTGTGACAACGAGACAGTCTTTGAGTATGACAGACAATAGCGTGAGGGAAAAAGGCTAGAGCATATGTAGAGTCCAAGGAATAAAAAGACTTGGACAAGTCACCTGCTATTTTTACACCTACAGAAAGGAGTCTGACTGAGCAGAATTATTTACTTTCCACAAACACAGAACTGAATTCAAATACAGATATAAAAAGAGAGATGACAGCTATTTGGTAGTTTCATTCCAGATGGCTGTGAGTAACAAAATGCCACCCAATTTGGCAATACTGGCAATCTAGATGGTGGAGACACCAAGGACAAAACAGCAATGCAAGCTGTAGGCATTTCTCACAGCGTCTTTGGCACCTCAGCCTCTTACCTTTGAGAGTAGCTGATGTTTGCAATGTCTTTGGTTCATGCTGGTAGATGGTTTTGATGATATCTGGGTCAGCATTGAATCGCTCTCGGTCATTCTGCCAGAAATTCCCTGGAGACAGCAACAGACAGCCGTGTTCGGGGAGCAGATTCCGCAGCTTCTTGAGGCCAGGCAGAAGATCTGTTACCTGAAGGCAAACTTCCTCCAAGCTTTTGACACCAGAACTGAAACGCAAAGAAAGGTTAGACACTGCCGTGTACGTTGCAACTCTCACAAACAAAAGGCAAAGCTGCCGAGACGAATACCCCACGGACCTGCATCACCATGTTACTGCTCTTGTTCTTCCTAAGGATCAAGAGCCTCAGGCCATAGACCAGGATCTCACTGTAACAGGTATAGGGACTCCAGAACCCTGTTGTCATTTCTCTGCATACCGTCTGGCCACACAGCTTTCGCTCTTCACCCATCCTAGGCGCCACAATTTTCAGTTCCACATTTAAGATGCCTCCAATCTACAGAGAAACTGTCTCCCTGGAATTCTTCTTCAAAGATCTTAAACTCCTCTGCACGCTTCTTTCCACGTACGCAATGGGACATTTTACAGAAATCTTTATTAGCATTCCTGAGGTGGATTATTTAAGGTGTACAGAGTGCTCTAAAACGTACAAAGGATTCAGGACCTGCAACTGTGCAAAATGTTTTCAGAATTCCTCTGCATTGTATGGAAAAGAAAACACCTTACAGGTTCATAAATTAATAAGAGGTATAATTGGTATAAACTGGAACTTGTGTTTGTTCCCAAACTTCATTTTACCACAATTACCTAGCCCTTATCAACTAGTAATTCAAGTGAGACTCAACTTGGGCTTACAATAGGATCCGACTGTGAAGGTGTAGTGACAAAACCTGTCAGCACGCTATCTGGCTAGTCAAGGAAGAGCTGCTGGTCCAAAAGAGAACACTTCCCTCAACATGATATGGGCAACTGGTGGGATGTCGGAAGGGTATATTGAAGAAAGGCTAAGTTAAGATACAAGAGACCAGTCTTCCCTGGCTCCAGTCTCGCAGATTACAGAGAAAGTGGCTCCAGAAGACAAATCAGTCAGGGTCCTATTGTAAACTGCCTTCTCTAGAGGAGTTTAAATGACTACAAAGAGAAAACGTGGAAACCCACTAATGATGGTTCGAGTTACATCTTTGTGAACATTCCCTCCAGAATCCATATTCTGTCACCATATGGCAAGCTACCTAGAAAAGTCACAGCTATTCAAAGAGAAATACTAGAAAATATACTTGAAAATACTGTGTTTATAGGAACCGAAGCTTTCTGAGAGGTAATCTAAAGGAACTGATGCAGTGACGCCTCCGATAATAGCTCCAGGAAGAGTAAGACAAGTACTGTTTTGTATTTCAGCTTTAGCTAACTCTGAAACATAACAGCGATAAGAGTTTATACTGCAGATAAGCCAATGTACGTTCTTATTTGTGAAGCAAACACACACAGCCAATGTCCCTACCAGTGTGCTGTGGATGCAGAGTGATACCAGAAAACATGAACCAGAGCAAACTACAAATTTCAGGTCACTTCTGACTTTTTACAAATGATGACTGCTCAAAGTTTCAGTGACCTTACAGCTGATGAAAATATAATCACCTTGTGTTTCTTACCCAGTTGTCAATAATCTTCAGCTCCTCCTGTACCACTTTAATATAAAAGAATGCTTTTTCCATATGAAGAAAATAAGCTGTGTTTAACTTTGATAGTGACAAAAGCAACTGACAACCAGGAACTTCATAATGACTTTTGAGATAATTTCAGAATTTATCTCAAAGCCAGATGTTTCCTGAAATATCCAAGTCCATCACCAAAATGGGAGCTCTTATCCCAAGGCTTAGGTCTAAGTGCTTAAGTCTTTGTCTTCTGGTGGCTATGTAAGTTTAATTTTGCTTCCATGCTGCATCACTGTTCATCAAGGGCAACACCCAGGGGAGATAATGAGGAGACAACACTCGTCCAGGGAGCAAGTTGTTTCTAACTTGTAATTGGCAACTATATACAAATTACTATCTAAAGTTACACATACGATAAAGGAAAACACAGAAAGAATGTCAAGTGCCAAGGCTTTGTGAGCTGGCAGGAAAGAGCAACATATTTAACAGCATAAATGGCATTTCTAAAAAAATTACCACAGAGAGAGCAGGTGGCTAGCTTGCAAGGAATGGTTTAAAAAAAGGACAAAGCATCAGGTAGAGTAGTGAAGTGGACACTCTCAAAAATGAAGTGATGAAGGATGTTGTCAAGGAAGTATGAACAAGCAGTAAATCTTCCCTGCCCGTATGAGTTAGAGGACAAAGAATGAAGAAAGCTCCTGGCTGAAAAGCTAGGTGATCAACGACTCTCATCTCACAATTTTTCATCACACTTGGCCTGTCCTCAGCATCATGATTCTCATTGAACATAGACAGACAAGTAGGGAAGCATTTCTGTCCTTAGAAAGTAAACCCAGCCAAGAACTTGACCACAAATAAAAATTTAGAACTCGAAAGAAAACTTCTTTAAAAAAAACAGAGGCAACTTAACGTGTATAAAGTGCATTCTTGGTTTACAAAGAGAGAATATGCCAAACTAATCTGAGCGGTCTTTTCTTTAAAATGCCTGACTTCTTGGATGGGGAAAGCAGATCTCACCTCCTTGGGCCCCAATAAAGCTTTTGATGCAGCACCACATAGAAAATGCTTTAGTTCACAGGAAAGACACAAAAATTAACACAAAATCGTGACGCAGTAAAGAACGAGGTTAACAGATAAATGGTCATGGAGCTGCTGAAAAGGAAACCATTCCATTGAGGAAAACAAAGTGGAATTTCTCACAGACAGTTCAGAGAAGCAGTATTATTATATACTTTTATTAATAACCTTGGAATAAGATATAGGGACATCTACCAATGCCACAAAATAAAGAAACACTGTTAATACAGAAAAGGAACAGAATATCTGAAATGGATGATGTGAGGGCTGGAATAAATTTAATCCCCTTTCCATCAACAGTACAAAGCGCAAGACCATGCACTTGGGGATGAAAATGAGTTTCTGCTATAAGGTGGGAGCTCATCAGCTGGAAATGACAGAGGAGGACATGGAGACATTAATCAATCATCCCATAACGTGTACAATTGATGTGACTGGCCATGAAAAAGGGACCTGCAATCTCACTGTATTTCAGGGAAGGCATTTCCATGGAAAATAACACACAAATGAGACTTCTCTGAGAATACTGTGTACAGTTCTCATCTCCCATGTTCAGGAATGATACACTAACAACAACAGTGCCAAGAGGAGCAACCAGGATGACAAACTGAATGCAGAGCTGTCTTACCAGAGTAAGCCAAGAGTTTCATATGTTTAGCTTAATAAACAAGGATTTGGGGTGGAGAGTTTGAGTTCTCCCTGTAAGTATCTGGAAGCAGAGGAAAATCTGGTTTTGTACAAAGACTGTGTCAGGACAAAAACAAGCAGGTATAAACTAGTCCTAAATATAGCCAAAGCGGAAAGTCAGGAGAAGGTTCCTGATCATGTGAAATTCCGGAAGAGCTTCACAATAGGCACGGTGCGGTCAATGAACTTGCTTTGATACGAAGCTTGCATGCTTATGAAGGGATTATATGGCGCTGCTGTCTGCTGTAACAGGTGTAACCTTGGAGGGCCCTTCCAGACCCCTCTGCCTAAGACTCTGACGGGAAGGTGCCTGACAATTATCAGCGACTAGAGGACAGGCAAGTTCTCTAGCACAAAAGCTAAACTGCTCTACACGCAGGATGGATATGATGTGACTTGTTAGCTGTGATCCCTCATTTTCTTTTAATTTTGAGAATCTTAAAAATTCAATGCAAATAATCAGACTTCCGAGGCAGTAATTTAGAAGATAGGTGTGTACAACAGCGGGCCAGTCTGTCTTCTACACAAACATCAACGAACAGTAATTACCTGTCTCTCAGGGCATGGTTTCTAATCTCCTCCACTAGCTGGAAGACGCGGGACAGCGGTGAACGGAATACATCAACAGCAAGGAAGTTCTTCTGCCATGGGGAGACGGTCGCTTTCACAAAGATCTGCTGAATGTAGGCCACAGGAGCACCAACATACTGTGGGGAAAACCAGAGGGAGAATGAAAACACACGGTGAGTGGGAAGCTGCTTAGCAGAATTAGACCATAGCTTGGCAACCTTTCAGGAAAGGGTTTGCCAGACTATATTTTCCTTCCCCGAATTAGAGGTGAAACATGACAGTACTAACCTAGCAAGAACAAAAAGAGTCTGTTTCTCAAAGAGGCAAAATGCCACTGACCATTTTGGCATCAGTCTGTTGCACTTCTTTGTGCGGCAGAGGCTCCCAGCTCCTGCTGAAGAAAGGCAGGAGCAGGGACTCGCTGCCTCTCGCAACACTGCAGTTCCCCCAACCTGTGCTGATTCTGCTGTGTGCCATTTAAATCTTCCTGGTCTCTGTGCCCAGGCTGCTGACCCTGCTCCGGGGACTGCAGCACTGACAGCCCGTGGCAGCCAGAACTTTTGTGCTCTAGTAGCTGAACTAGGCAACAAAGCAGAAGGGAAGATTTAATCAGCCAGCAGCAGCCCGAGTTAACAGCATAGTGCAAAAAGCTCTCAGTGGCACCAGGGAGCATGGAAGGCAGCAAATGATTTTTCAATCACAGCGAAAAGAGCCCACATGGAGAGGGTAGAGAGCTGAAGGCATGAAAAGCATTAATCCAACAGGTAACTTCTATTTAAGAGAGACCCTGGAATGAAAAAGAACAATGCAGGTTACAAAGGATGACTTTAGAATTGTTTCCTGATTTCCTGGACCAGGCTATCAGCCTTGCTGGAAAGCATCAGGGTTCCAGCTTGTTCACGCAAAAGAAAAGTTAATTCCTTACCCTTAACATAAGGATATCAGTCTAGTTTACCTGAATGATACATACCAGCCAATTAAAAACAAAACAAAACAAGACCAAACCAAAACCCACCTTTAGATTATACCCAATTCACCAGGTTCTCCAAGCACCCCTATACTCCCTAGACCACACTGTAGTAGCTAGCTCCACAGACAGTCTTTGGCTGCCTAAATTCTAATTCAAATGAAGAACTCTTGATTGTGACCTTAAGAAAAAAGCCTATGTCTTGGAGGTGAAAAACTAGACTACCTCCATCATCAGAAAAAAACCCTGCTAGATGCAGTATTTTAAAGCCAAAGGAGAGAAAATTGCAAGCGCTGAGGAGCTGGACAGTCTGTCTTCCACCTCCAGGCCAGACAGACATTTCCATTGACAGGACAAGGAATAACGGATTTAAACTAAAGAAGAATAGATTTAGACTAGACATTAGAAAGGAATTTTTTACGATGAGGGTGGTGAGGCACTGGCACAGGTTGCCCAGAGAGGCGGTGGAGGCCCCATCCCTGGCACCATCCCAGGCCAGGTTGGACGGGGCTCTGAGCACCCTGCTCTGGTTAAAGCCGTCCCTGGCACTGCAGGGGTTGGGCTGGGGGAGCTCTAAAGGTCCCTTCCAACCCAAAGCATTCTGTGATTCTGTGATTCTAGTTCAGACAGCTAGTTCGTGATCTGCGAAGGATAAGCTGTGATAGCCAGAATCCAGATCCCTTCAGAGAGAGGCTGACAACACCAAAACCACCATCGTAATTACCAGTAGCATCTCCACAGACACTTACAGTGGTAAAGGCTGACTAAATCCTGTTCTCCCCCTTCAGAGGAGGCCAAGGGCAGGTTTGTGAAGCGGTGTGTGTCAGCAGGAGGCTTGTCCTGCTGCGCTAGGGAAACTGCATGCCTTCGTATGACATTAGGCAACGGGGGCCTGTTACGCCAGAACCCATCAGTAAACTTATTTAAAATCTAGTAACGCTTTAAAAAGTGTACTGCTTGCCTTAGATAAAGTTAACCTTGAAAAATGGGCTCTTAAACAGCATTTCAAAGCCTTTAAGTCTTGCAAATACCTAGCATCCATCTTTTTGATCGAGTAAGACTAATACAAGACAAACACAGCCTGGAACTTAGCAGTTACACAAAGCAACACCTCACCAGAAATATTTTCCATTGATTACAGCAAAGTGTGGGTACCACGGCAGGGGGGTTTCAGCATCCCACCTCCCCCCGACCCCACACACCCCCCAGCACAGGACTCACCCAGTCGGGATGCTCGCTGAGATCCCCTTGCTGCAGACCCGCGTCTGGAGCGGGTGGAGAGTAATCCTTCACCGGGGTGCTGTACTCCACAGGTCCTGTTCCAGGCAGCGGCAGCTTCAGCAGCGGGTAACTGTGATTAAAACATAAGCATGAAACATTGTGCTTTTTTTTTTTTTTTTTTTTTGACTAGGCTTTTAGACAAAAGAGCTCAAAAAATGAATGGGTCATGAAAAATGAGCCTGCTCCAGCTTAATCCAACCTCTGCAGGACAGAGGTTGCAGGACATTGCAGTTGCTTTAGCTTTCATAGGAACTGTTTGATGTATTTCCCCAACACAAGAGACAATGCAACTAAAAATCCTGGGAGAAAAAGAAGGGAAGTTCTTGCAGGACCTCACTTGAATTGCTCTCCATCACCTGAAAGCTAGTAGCGCTAAAAACATTAAGTACAGCCACGCCTCATCTATTCTGTAGCCCGCACAAAAATGAGACACTCATTTGGCTGCTTTCCTGACCCAAGCTCTATATTAATCACCTAATTTTCCTCATTAAGATTTGAACTATTTCCAATATTTGTCATTAACTTCATTGATCCTCAAAGGGCTTTTAATAGTAGCAGTGAGACACCAAAACAGCTACGAAATATTTATCTTCTTGCTCCTTTGCTACTACAATCATCAGATGAGTGTAGCAGCTATCCCACAACAAAGACTTCAAACTATTTGAACGTTGAGAAACTGAGGTTTCAGAGAGTTTAGAATAGTTTTTTTAGCTCCAGAGGTTCTCGAATGCGATTAAAACTGTGTCAGAATTGAACTGGTGGAAAAAGCAAGACTGCTGTTACGGAGGTATCGACCAACGAGTGGGAATTGTCAGCACCAAAATGAACCAGACGCCCGAGTTTCCTGGGCTTTCTGACAATGTAACTTCTGTCTTCTTGTTGTCTGATGCACGACAATCTATCGGGCCTTAAATTTCTGACATATTTTCCAGGCCTTAAATTTCTGACCTATTTTCCCATTTACAGCTGAACTTTTCTTGCCGTATTGCCAGAATAAATATAAAAGCCTTGGGATTGTTTTCATGCAATACTCTGCCCACTTCGTTAGGGATTAGCCTGAATCATCAAAGGCCAAGGAGGGGACAAGCAACAGCTAAAGACAAGGCTTCAGACTGAACAACAAAAGGCTGGAAAAGGACAACGAAATCAGAAGCAAAGCTTGTCGGATTTGCTATTTTATTAGCCTGACAAAAATACAACATCTAATTATCATCATTTCATTGTGCAATGGGAGGGAAGAGCAAAAGAAATAATAAAATCATGCCGTAATACATCAGAGGTGCAAATGCCCAACAAAAGCCACAATCTGGAGCCACAGCACAGCCTCGTTCCTCTCACAAGCAGTAATCAGTTTTAGTCCTTCTAAACGACACGTAGCACCTGCTTGCCACGAACGATCTGCTGAAACCAAAAGCCTGGGGGAGATACGTACAGCAATCATCCTGCGTCTGACTGAGGCTGATACACACATAAATTAAAATAATAAAATCGGGTATATGTGATAAAACAAAGCAGAATGAGTTGAACAGGTGACCGAGGAAGAATGACTTTTTCACTAAGTGATTTTGATGTTGATGCCTGAGTAAGTCCAGCAATCTAAGGAAAACACTTTAGATTCATACTACGTGCCTATCCAGAGGTGGATTTCCCTGTGCAATCACCTGTCAGTTTTAAGGAGCCAGAACAATAATCTTTTATAGAACTTAACTCATCTAGAGGCACAAAATCTACACAGCCAGGGCGTTGCAGGAGGAACAACGGGACGCGCTGGTTCTGCCTCACAAGCACCAGTGGAGCAGCTCAGGCTTCAGAAATGATCTTGTCGCGTCTCTGGTTGGAGCTTCAGCTCTAGGACCAGGCTACTGTCAGATACGCCGAAAACAAGCAGCGCCCGGTGCCGCACCTGATCAGGAAGCCACGATATCCCGAAGCTGCGGGAAACGCCGAGCAATGCAGCTGACGGTTGCATCTCCACAGTCAGGGCTGAAGACCTGACCACTGCCAGAGGTCACGGCTACGGCACCAAGGGTGAGGGAAACACCGAGCTCTTCTGGATGCTGAACATTTCACAAGTACTTTTTCCTAGTTTAGCAAGATTCCGCTAGCCCTGCACACGATCCTACCTTGAAAACTTTCAACTCTTGCTGTCTTTCAAAGCAAAAATGCCCCAAATCCTGGCAGAGGTGTAATGGATATATTTTTTTTCACTTCCTGAACACCTGCAGGGATGCAAGGACTTTGCCCTCTTATTAGTTACTAGGTAGGGAAAACTATTTTCTGTAACCAGAGATGAAAGTCATTTCAGTGGGTGCAATGAGCTCGGCGTACAGAAGGAACAAATCGCCACCTCCCAGGAAGACGGCTGCATCCCTCCCTTCGTCCCGGTCACCCACATCTAGCCTAGGGAACAAGCTGCCACCCTTCCTCATCCCGCTCGTTCCGTATAGCACCCCTAAATCCCGCATCAGCGGCGGGGGGCTGGACCAGAGGACCTCCAGAGGTGCCTGCCAGCCTCACCAGCCCGTACAACCACAGCTAGTCCAGTGGAGGCCACCAAAATGGTGACACGGCAGGAGAACACGGTGCAAAAGGAGACACTGGGTTACCTGGACTCATCCAGCCTGGTTGGAGACTGAGGAGGGAATTTAAAATGTAGTCTTCAGCTAATTAATTAGTGGTTATAGTGAAGATGACCCCAGACTTGTCTCAGGGGCACACAGGGAAAGGACACAAGTGCAGCAAGGGAAATTCCAATTAGACAGAAGGAAAATATTCTTCACATTGAGAGCAGTCAAACACTGGAAAACGGATCAGAGTAGCTGTGGACTCTCCATCACTGGAGCTATTCAAAAGCCAACCAGAGAGGGCTGCAAACCTAAATTTGGGGTTAGCCCTGCTTCGAGCAGTGACCTCCATCGCCACAGACCCCCCCATATGGAAGGGATCTCTGGAGGGCTCCAGTGCAAACTCCTGCTCAAACCAGGGCCAACGAGCAGGTTGCTCAGAGCCATGTCCAGTCTGGGGTTGCGCACCTCCAAGGACTGAGGTCCCACAGCCTCTCTGGGCGCCTGTTCTAGTATTTGATAACCCTCACCATTTTTTCCTTAGCTCTATCAGAATTTCCCATCTGTCCATTGCCTCTTGTCCTTCCAGTACAGACCCTGAGAAGAATGTGGCTCCACCTTCCCTCCGCCCTCCCAATAAGCAGTTGTAGGCCAGCAGTAAGGTCATCCCTGAGCCTACCACTTAAGGCTGAAGATCCTCAGTCTCCTCAGCGTCTCCTCCTCCATTACATGCAGAAGAATTCTGCACTCCGATAGTTCTGCTGGAGTGCTCCAGCACGTCAACACCTTCCTCAGGCTGCAGAGCCCCGGACTGGACGCGGGACTGTGGTTTCACAAAGGCCAAACAGAGGGAGGACTCCCTTCCCCTTGCCCCTGCCGGCTACGCTTGCCAGTGCAGCCCAGGATGCAGCCGGCCTTTCTGCTGCCGAGGACACGCTGCCCGACTCATGTCCGACTTGTCCTTTGCCGCAAAGCTGCTTTCCAGCCTGTCCTGCTCCAGGGGCTTACTCCATCCCAAGTGCAGGACTCTGCATTTGCCTTTTTGCCTTTGCCGAGCTTCCCGAGGCCCCTGGCAGTCCATCTTCCCAGCCTGCCAAAGTGCCTCTGAACGGCAACCGTGCTCTCCACCACACCGACTGCTCTCCCACGTCTGGCGCAATCTACGATCTTGGCGAGCGTGCGCTCTGCTCCCTCACCCAGGTCATTAACAGCGATGTTAAATAGACCTCGCCCCAGTTCGTGGATTAGGGGGTTAACAGGAACTGCTGGCAGAGCTGTGGGAGCAGCAACTTGCAGTAGAAGGATGGAACAGCTGGGGAAGGTGAAGGACCTGAATTTCCACAACTGTCTGCAAAATAACAACCTGGCTGCAGTCACAGATGTTTTGCCAGTAGTGAGCATGTCACATCAAGCAATTCTGGATTCTGTTACGCCCCTTCTGTGCTTGAGGCCACAAAGGAAGGCCTTAACTCACCAGCCTATATACCACAGAAACTCGGAAAAAGGAGTATTTCTATATTTTAAAACAACTAGCCTCTGGAGAGGGTTCTCAGTTGCCCCACCATGTTGGTTCTCAGCCACTAGCGTATTTACAGCTGAATAAAACCACTTCGTCACCAAGAAACATGCCTGTCGCCAGACTGGAGCAGAGATGCGCGTCAACTCCTCTACTAGCGAACGATTTCCTCCTACATACGTACCGGCTGTTCACAGCAGCCTTGGCTTTAGCTACGGAAGCTACCTGAGAAGTCGGGAAGGAGGAATGTTCATCTAAACAATGGCAACTGGTACACAGCTTCCAGATGGCTCGGGGTTACACAGGGCCTCGGAGAAAGATGCAAGATGGGACAGGCTGCCTGACAGCAGCTAACAGAAGGTTAGCTGAGAATCCCGTATTTGTTTTTTTCTGTTGTTAAAAAAAAGTTTAATCTTCTGTAGAGGGGAAGAAGCAAACCACTCCCATCCTGAAGCGCAAGCCACCTCCCAAAATACTGGACACAGCAACTCACAGCTCCTTAATGGCATTTTTGAATGACCAAGATTTTTGTTTTGTTGGGTTTTATTTTTCATGTTAGGATTTTCAAACTTCTCCACAATACTTGAAAGTACATGCAAATGCAATGTAGGAAAGAGTAAATGGCATTTCTTGGAAAACTCAAGGGCAACAAAATGAGGGGAAAAACAAAAGGGAAATTTCTGACGGAAGGAAAAAATAATCTAGAGATGTCTGCGCACTGCTGAGGACTATATCCTACCACAGCTCTCGGTGAACCACGGCAACCGAGATTCCCATATTCCACTGTCCTCTCCGGGCCTGCAGTCAGGGTAGATCTGTTGGTACCTAAACCAACTTCAGCATTTCCCTGCAATCCGATTAAATCATGAACATGGAACAAGATTTATGCAGTAGGAAAAGATCCATATGCTCCCTCCAATCCATATTTTTAACCTATGCCTACAGTAGGCAAGGAAGAGGAAAGCAGCATCTACCACTGCAGTTACTCAA